AGCATATGGAGTTATCCCTCTCGGTCCTCCATATGTGTTTCCTGTAATTCCAGAATTCTGGATTCCACTATCCGCTGCTCGGCGTTCTTCTTCCCGAATCTGAAACGCTTCATTCCTTACAGTTGGCCGGATCACATCAGCCAATTGCCTGGAAATTTCATACGCGATGTCTCCGATTCCAGCCTGAATACACTGATTCACTTCTCTGCGCACCATGGTCACCATCGTCTCGGTCGACGATAATTCCTCATCTCTCCTCAGCCCTAGGATGCGGCTTCCACTGGGATGAACCGGCGTTCCAGTTCCAGTAAATCCTGCACCCTGATTCTGATTGTCCATAGCGATCACTTTACCGCTGCGAAGTTGCATATATGAATACGAACCCGACTTGGTCCCACTGGGTGTGCCAATTGTTGGATCCTAAAATTTGGAGATTCCAAGAATGTTCGTCGATTTGTCAGTATGGGTTCCGGAAGTACTCCAGAGAGCCAATCCGTCGTCGGGCAATGCGAATTTCACATGATTACTGAACTAAACTACGATTAACTACGGAAAACGAGTAAATAAATTGCAGAAAGTATATAATCGGAATTAAATTACATAAACGAAAATAAAACAAGGAGGAAAAATATGAAAAGATGCGATTTGTTCTATTGTGCGCGTGTGTGTTGTGTTTCTTTTTCCTAATTATAGTTCTAGGCTAGAATAACCACTTCTCCCACTAACAGGTGGGGTTACAATTATTCTTCCACTGATTTCTACCTCTCTTAACCACCAAGTAACCTCTTTCCATCAATTCCCAGCGGCTTCCATTGCTCCTGGACCGGGTTCCATTCGTCTTGATCATCTTCCATCGTTCCTGGATCAAGTTTCATTCGCTTTGGATCTCTTCCATTGCCTTCAGATCAGACCTGCAGCCTACCCTGATTCGTTTCCATCATACTACCAGCCGGTCTACGGGAATGTGTTCCCAACAGCCTTGAGTTACATGGAACCCTCACTCTTCATGGTCTTCCATTAGTATCATGAGGTTGCCGATTCAAAGTTGATGGAGCTTGTCGTCCGAAGGTCTATGGAAGTCATATCTTTTTGCTCCATGGAAGGTCCGCAGCATGATGGAAGTCCTTACCTTCGACATTAAAACCCTTTTGGACTTGGGGTCCAACAAAATTATATATCGTTATAAAATCATAGTGTCATTAAAAAGACTAAACAATTAATATGTATTTGAAAAAATAACACCTATTTATATAGTCTTCGGATTTTGTCTCTTACAGGGAGGGCCCTAGGTTAGGGAGGCCCGGTCCAATGTAAATGAATGTTCCTATCAATTATTTATGTTATATATATAGTTATTATATATAAAATTTATTTGATTTATTTGAAATTAAAAGAAATATAATTCGATGGTGTGAGATTATTTTGTAATGTTAAAGTTTAGATTCTATTTCATAAGGTTACCAAATTTTGGAATTGTCTTTAATGCTAATATTGCATGAAAAATATTAGAAAATAATTATTTTATTTAATTATTAATTCTTTTATTATAAATAAAGAATATTATATATATATATATTTAGGAGCATGTTTTTTTGCCATGACCCTAGAAAGTTCGAACCAACCCTGGTCTGATAGGGGAGGTTTCGCGCTCAATTGCTGCATCATTGATTTTTTATTCTGTTGGCCTGGAAAATACTTTTCGGCTTAAAACTTCTCGTCGGGAGTATTGGTGGGTTCTCGGGCAACTCAATACGAATCCCCGGTGGTATGCGATAAATTTAAGAACAAATCACACAAAAATAATCAAAAGAAAAGACGGCGCAAACGAGTTGTAATGATTCAAGATCGATTCAACATTATTCTAAAAAAACCAAAAGAAGAAAAAATGCAACGAAAATGTATAGAAGACAAAAAAGACGAAATGGGCCGAACAATTGTGTTTCTCAATGGAGGAAATAGGCATGTAGAAAACAAGACAGAAATTCTCTACAATCATACTATAGAACGATTCAAGGGAAACAAGATGGATGCTTGTTGTCCCAACTATTCTCAATAAAAAGGATAATTTTGCGGATTGAGATGTGGTGTCGTTTCACCCGGATGCTCATCATATTTATCATTCTTCAAAATTTTATACCGTGAGAATATCAAATAATTATCGAAATATAAAATTCTATATCAAAATAATTTATCAGAATTAATTCAATAATCAATCAAAATAAATTCGATAATCACGACAATCTTATTGAAATAAATTCAATAATCAATAATAATTTATCGAAATTAATTCGATAATCAAAATATCAAAATCAATTTATCAAAATAATTTTGATAATCACAACAATGTTTTTTATCGAAATAAATTCAACAATTTTTTATCGAAATAAATTTGACAATTTTTTATCGAAATAAATTTGATAATCAATTTATCAAAATAATTTTGAAAATCACAACAATTTTATCGTAATAAATTCGATAATCAATTTATCAAAATAATTTTAATAAACACAATAATTTTATCGAATTTAATAATTTTATCGAAATAAATTCGATAATCAATTTATCAAGAATAAATTTGATAATCACAATAATTTTATCGAATTTAATAATTTTATCGAAATAAATTCTATAATCAATTTATCAAAAAAATTTGATAATTTATTTATCAAATAAATTCGATAATCACAATAACTTTATCGAAATAAATTCGATAATCACATCGAGTCGAGGTAGAACCTCTTTCCATAAAAACGAATACGCCCCGGTAGTGCCTCCGGTTCGTGGCGTAACGTTCCCAAAGATAAAACAACGTTCGTCTCCGAATTAGGTGACACCCCAATATTTCGGAGCTCCAGCGAACTAAAATAAGGGGACTGAAGCTATGTCAGGAAGCTAGACAATGATAGATTCCGGAGCTTACCGGAAAACTCGCCGGAAATTAAGTGGGGTGGAGAGTATTAGAGAGGAAGAACTCATTTTGGTGTTGTCTGTTGGAATAGTGAAAGTAGCCTTATATAGGCACTCCAACCTTAGGAGTGTTTAATTCCGAGTCGAAACCGTCGATGTTTAATGGCCGGTAACCGCCAGTCATAAACACCAACTTTAATTCCGGTCATAAACACCAATTTAATTCTGATCATAAACACCAAATTTAATTCCGGTCATAAATATATTATTTAAATTTCAAATAATTATTTATCATATATGCATGTAATTATCTGGTCCAGACAGGTGGCACGCGTGTCTGTGATTTACCGGCATTTATATGCCTAACCACACTATCAATAACCACCATACAACCCACATGCATTTTTATTCACTGAATAAGCGATTTCCGAAATTATGAATTTAATTTAAAATTAAATTCCATCGATTAAATAATTAACCGATTTTCCAACATAACCATCATACTCAATGCTCTCCATTAATCACCCATATCATAATTCATCATTGTAACGGTTGCGCCACTACTTTCACTTATTCATTGATCAATTAATGGCCGTACAAACTCTTCATAAAAATGAGATTAATAGCCAATTAACCTATGTAATCTACACACTTTTTTTCCATCAAACAAAGCCCTCCATGATCATCTATTGGGCCAAGCCATCACTTTAATGGATTGCTTGGTGATCGGCTAGAAATCTTCGGAATCGGCCCGCTTTTATTGATAGAATTTTTTGTGTGACAACACGTTCATTACATTTTTTTATATCAAGCTGGTGTTTATATTATATTTGTGTATATGCGTGCCCCAATTTTTCTTATTGCAAAAGAGAATTATAATTCCTTTCAAACTAATATATAGATAGATACATAAGATTTTTTATTTTTGTTTTAATAGATTTGAAAAAATTTTGATTTAAGTTTTAAATGTATGATACTAGAACTTAAAGTTTGGTGGCAAGAGAAACAAACCTAAGTCCTCTCCATTATTACAGAGTCCATGATGCCTTGCGATTGTTTTAAATTTTCTTCTGCAACAAATTTCAGGTGTGTTTGTTTGGGGAATTTTACCCCAAATTTACTATTCGTCTAATTTCTTTTTTAAAATATCAAATTAAATATATTTTTTTTATTGTTATATTATATTAAAAATTAATTTTACATTCAAAATATCATATCAATACTTATTTATATCACATCATACATCTATTTTAATTTCAAATCTCAATTCAAAATCTAAACTACCAAACAAACACACTCTTATTTGATTCTAGAGCTGACAAAAACTAACTGACACGACAAGCCGACAAGAAATAATTAAGTTTGGGTCAAAGATTTGAGTTATACGGGTTGACACGAATCCGATACAATAATAAACGGATCGGGTTAGGGTTGAGACTCTCAACTCGAACCCGACACGATAACTCGATTATAATATATTAATATTGATTAATATATTTATTATATATGTAAAATAATCATAATTTATTGATTTTCTCATAAATTAATTTAAACTAAGTTCAATTTTAAATAATTCAATCTAATTTACGCTCAAACCAATAAAATTAACATAATACGATAACACAACAAAAACTTATTTAATTTGAATCAAGAAATTCGACTTACTTATGTATACTGGTCAACTCGAACCCGACACGATAATAAACTAGTCAACACGAATCCGACACGATAATAAACGGATTGGGTTAAAGTTGAGTAATTTAACCCGTTTAAAGTATTCAACTCGACATAAATTCAGACACGAATTGACTCATTGCTAGCTAGCTCTGTTTGATTCCTTTAATCTCTCCAAATTAACGATGGCGTGCGTACGTACATGCACACAATCTTGTGCGTGTGTAGGTTTTTGGTCTCAAAACTCAACTCAACTATGAAGAAGTGAAGAGGAGCGTGGAGTGGAGAGAAAGTGATTCTAATTGGCATCTATATGTGCATCATCATCGTCGTCGTCATCATCAAATGAGGAACAGAATTAATTCACAGAATACAGTTCCTTGCTTGCTTTCCTTCCAGGTTGGAGGCTGGAGGTTGGACGCGTGCCCCCCTTCCCTTCCTCATTTTTTTATCCTCTAATCTAATCTTTGATTGATTAACTAATTAACTCATTTGCGTGAGCCGTGACCTATCAAAATCCGGGGATTTCTCTACGCAAGCTAGCTAGCTAGACGAGACGACGCACATGCGTGTGATCTGCCCACTGCCACACCGCATCAGTCGATCCACCTATCCATCTATTGTCGTTTATGAGATCCATCTCGAAAATTTTCTCTTCTCCTTTCTACAACTATGATAGTGATCCATGATCTACAGTGCCTATGACGTCATGCTTATGAGAAATCTGTTTTTGATTTTTGTTTTTCCTTTGGGAGGTAGTCGGTGCCGGAGCCGGTAGCTGTCGAGGTTAGGGCATCGCTTTGAGTTTGCAGCTGAGGTTACCTTTGACCCCACCGCAACAGTTGAAGGTATCCTTCCTTTTCTTTTCCTTTTTTTTTTTTTTTTTTTTTTTAATACAGTATTTATTTCATTTTGCTATTTTCAAATCTTTTCTGCAAATCTTTTATATATTTATTTATTGTTGGGTCTATTAATTGTTCTCTCAAACAGTACAGATCTGTCTCTTCAAATTTCGATCTTTTTCGTCTTTCGACCGCCTTTTTCTTCAACGCCTCCTCTTGGAAACAGGCCGTCGCTTCTTATCTCAGCTATTGTATATATAGTTGCAGAGCTACGCGAAACCGATCCTTCAACTCTACCTATTTCATATTTGATCTCCCGTACGCTGTCCCATTCCGATCGTCTCTTTCCATTTCACCCTCTCAATCGGTATCATTTTCTCTCCGTTCTCCTTTATTTTTACTATTTGGTCTGCCCTTTTATTTAGCCCGCTCTATTTTCTTAATGTTTATGTTTTTTGATATTATTATTTATTGTCGGCATCTTTCTTAGTTTCTATTTATTTTGGGGCATGTTTCAGTGCTTGATACCTTTAAGAGATGCTTTTACATTGAACTGATTGTGGGTGTTCAATTTCGGGGTGCTGTTTTTATTCTCTTCTTTTTCTTTTTTTTTTTTTCAATCTCAAACTCCATAGGATATGTGGTTATTGGAAATGTCAACAATCTGCCTTTCCCCCTTGTGGAAATGCTATTCTAAGCTTATTTTTCACTAGTTCTACCCTGGCTTACAAATCTTTGGTGTTTGGGAATCCTAGCTACTGAATGGGCCCTTCTTTATCTTCTGTTCCAATACGGGTGGAAGCATAAATCCTTCTGTTAAATTTAGGCATATTCTTTGAGAAGCGCATCCATTGAGTGACTGAAGTTTGCAATGAGAAATTATATTCTGATTAGTTTAGTCAATTCATAATGCATTTGATTTTGCAGGTGTTTAGCAATAACTCCAAAAATCTTGAAGCATGTACAAAGAAGGAACCTCAGGTTTCTGCTTCAACCATGGCTTCTATTATCCTCAATATATTGGTACAGGTTGGGTTTTCTATATTGCACGCTGTTCATTGCTTGATTGGCAATTTTTTGTCATGTTTTATTAAATAAGTTCCTTTGGCACTTGTAGGATACGAATCAACTGAGGACTGGGAGGACCAGCATAAGGTTTTGAGTTTGGATGGTCAAGATTTTCAGTTTACTGTGAGTCCCTTGGCTTGTCTGCTAGATTTTCTGTTTCACATTTCTACCTATTGAATGCGGTTCACATTTGGCAGGCTTCATCAAATGAAATTCTACCATATGTATATTATGCTCCTGACTATGGATATTCTCAGTCTCTTTACAACCCCTACAATCCATGTATACCTGGTGCCTCTATGGGAGTGGATGGCTCATTTGTGGCACCCCAACAAAGTTACACATATCTCCCATATGATAATCTTGGCACGGCACCTGGATATGCAGCCATGATTCTTCAGCCCAGACCTGATATTACTGCCAATGGGACAATAAATTCATCTGTTTATGATACTGCTGGATTTGTCTATAAAGCTAATGCTCCAGCTGCTAAAAACTCTCAGAAATCTACTGCCCGTGTATTTGAAGGAAGTAGAAGCAGTGCTGGATTTGGCAAGCAATCCGTGCCAAGTCGACCATGGTCACCATACATACAGGTGAAAGGCTCTATTATGAAATACTGCATTGGTGTTCATACAATGAGTTTACACTATTGTAAGATATATCTATTAAATTTTCCTTAAATTATTTTTTTAATACTGTATGCAAACATCTGTATCACAATCTTGTCTTTAGGCTAGAAGTTCTCAAGGCACAGAAAACAAATTAAATGAGGAGATTCTTTCTGGTAATGGTCAATCAAAGGTTTCTTTGCCCTCGAAAATTGGATCATTTGATACTGGATTGAGCAATCATGCCCAGGCTTCACCAGCATATAAAGCTGTCCGAAAGTTCTATGGCAGAGTTCCAAATGATGCAAAAGTTAGCCAAGATTCACTGAGTGAACAGAATCAGGGATATGACATGTACAAACATACGAACAAGTTTGTGGTTAAAGCCTACACTTCAAGGGCGGGGACTACTGATGCACAAGGAAACATCACTATCTATATGGATCAGTATAATAAAGTTGATTTCCCTCTTGTATATACAAATGCCAAAAAAGCCAAGTTTTTTGTGATTAAATCGTATAGCGAGGATGATGTGCACAAGAGTATCAAATATAATGTGTGGTCATCCACTCCTAATGGTAACCGGAAGCTTAATGCTGCATATGAAGATGCACAGAGGATAGCTGCAGGAGATTCACAAGGGTGCCCCATTTTTCTCATGTTTTCTGTAAGTAACTTGTCTAAATTGGCGATGTTAATGGGAAAAAAATCCTACAATGTTGCTTTGATCTGTGTTCTAGTCTATATTCTTTCCTTATTTAACCTCCTGCTTTTTTGGTTTGTTCAAATGTTCTGAACTTTAGGTCAATTCTAGTGGCCAGTTTTGTGGTGTTGCAGAGATGACTGGGACTGTGGATCCACACAAAGACATGGATTTCTGGCAGCAGGATAAATGGAATGGTAGCTTTCCCGTGAAGTGGCACATCATAAAGGATGTTCCAAACCCCAAATTTCGGCACATCATACTAGAGAATAATGAGAACAAGCCCGTGACTAATAGCAGAGACACACAAGAGGTAGTCTTCAATATACACATTATATAAAAGCATATATAATGAGAGTATATATTAGGTATGTTCTTTGACTTGTCAATTTAAATGGCTTGTTTTTTATTCCATCAACCTGATCCCTTTCTGTCAGTAGGGTGGTGAGGATCCATGCCTAGTGTGCTTTTAATTGTTAATTGTTTGTTAAGTAGTGTAATGTTTTTATTTGGCTTTTTGTTTTTTAGCTGAATACCATTCATTCAAGTTTCTTGTGGTTAGTTTTGAATTCTCTTGTATTATTTTGGCCATATGAAGTTTAGGATATGCCTGTTGTAACTTGGGGGATTCACTTGTTTACAGATAAGCTACAAGAAAGGTTTGGAGATGCTACACATATTCCAGAATTATCCCTTTAAGACATCCTTGATGGATGATTTCATGTACTATGAAAGTAGGCAGCGTATCCTGCACGAAGAGAGAGCCAAGCTACAAATGAGGAGTTCTTCAGTGCAAAACTGCACTCCTCACTTGGACTCCGCTAGAAAGTGTGGTTTCACTTCTGTTCAAAATATTAAAGATAGCAAGCAGCATGAAGACAACAATTTGAGTAGTGTGAGTGCTGCAGTCAATTCCCCGTCAAAAGGGCAAGTATCTTTAGATCCTGTTAGGAGCACAGGAATGGGAAGGGATGGTGTTTCCAAAGAGACTGTACCCACTGATGCAGATGAACTACAAATTGGTTTGATGAAGATTAACTCAGAAGTCCCTGAGGAACCATACTTGTTGCCTGCTGCTGAAGAGAGTGAGCTTGTTGAAGTTGTCACCATAGGGTCTATGTTGGTGAGAGTTAATGAAGCCAAATCTTCTGGCTCCGGGTTGGTGGGAGGTCAAGACTAGAGCCATGATGGTGCTGGATGAGATAACATTTCATTGTACTGGATAAAGAAAGTTGATATTTATATTTGTGGTCGGCAACAATGTACTGCTGTGCTGTGCTGTGCTGTGCTGGTGGGTTTTGAGCCTTTGAGCTACATACATGGTGACTGGTGAGTGTTGTTTTGGCCCCTGTTTTTGAGGGACAAGGGTGCGAAGGCATGTGTTACTTTCTTGTTTGTATTGGACTACTGTCCTGGTATGGTATGGTATGGTTTGGTTTGGTTTGGTTGGATTTGTTTGATTGGATGGACTAGGAGTTTGGGTTGCCTTTTTGAGTGCTTTCCAATTCAATCTGTCGAGTTGTTGGTAATGGATGAAAGCAGTCTGTGAAGGCAGGCAATGGAATTGAATTAATTTTGTTCAAGAGGGGATCAAATTTATCACATTTCCTTGATGCATTTTTCTGACTTTTGCCTTTAAGCATACAAGGGATTTCAGGTTTTCTTGCTATACTCGACACAGAGTAAAAACACAAGGCACAACTTGTGTTGTGTATTATATATATAGGTATAGATAGATGTGCCACAACAATGTAGCCTCAACATCTGCTGTTGTTTGATGATTGTCCTTGGGATCTCCTCGAACTATGCTGCTGCTGTAGCTGAAGGTCATTAAAGTTGTTGCTGATGCTGCTGCTGTTGTCGTCTTCCTCTTCAAACATAAGATTTGGTGGAGAAGCAGGCGTTGGTGGCTGGTGGTGGTGGTGGTGGTGGTGGTGGGGTGACTTGGAGGAGTTGGTAGAGACAACGGGGGCTCTACAAAGTGGGCAAGTTGAGTTGTTCTGGAGCCAGTGGTGGATGCAATCCATGTGGAAAATGTGCTTGCATGATGGCACCTGCACCACCTCCTCTTTCTCCTCATACTCTCCCAAGCACACACAGCACCTATCACTCTCACCATAGGAGGAGGTCATAAGTACAATGTAAGAAGAACAAGGGGAGGATGTAAATGTTATTACATATCCTCATGTTGGCATTATAACAATAATTCAATCTCAAAGACCAGCACAAGCAGACAGCATATTCATTGTAAACAATTCTGGTGAAAGAAAGAAAGAAAGCAAAAGAAACTGATGAGTTTATAATAATATATCATGAAAAGAGTGCGTTCTTTGTTAGTGGGTGGAATCATATGTCCTTGTCTCAACCCAGCCACTTTCAGGTCTCCATAATAATAATAATAAAAGTGCCAATATTCTTATAACCAGCCACACAATCACAATCACAATCAGGATCGTCCATTTCCCAAGGAAGGCCTACCATTTACTTACAAGCATTCCTCCTTCTATGATCATCTTCTACTACTACTCTACTGTTACTGCATGATTCTTTCCTCCATAAATATGATTAATGAATGCACCATTTGGAGTAACAAACAGCCAAGCAAGTACGGAAACAATTAACAACTTACTGTGTATCCTGTCTCTTCATATATTCATCAAACAAAACTGCACACAGCTTGATCTTCACATCTTTCATATCACTGCCAGGAGAAGGCTGCACCACCACCCGTGCCACCGAGAAAAATAAAGATAAAAATCCACAAATTAATTCCTCTATCCATGATCATCAACCATACAGATAGAAAGGCAAATAAAAACCAGAATAGCAAAAGCATGATTAACTTTCTAGATAAAGGCCAAGCTAGAGTTTATTACCGCTGTGATGTTCACATCGTTTATAGTCCTCGGAAGAACTGGTGGATATGCCGATGTGCCAGAGGCTCTTCTCTTGAGGTAAAATAAGTAGAACAGGAGAATAAGAATGATTGCAAAGAGTATGGGAATTGAAAATATGAATGCCTGGTATAGCTTCAGCTGAATTGCTTCTGAGTATTGGTGAGGAGGGCTTGGAGCCTGTGGAAAACCCATCTATCCGTGTTCTGTGAAAACTACATAAGGCCCATACTTAACTTGCAAGAATTTCAACACAGATCGAGGCACTTACTAATTGAATTCTCCTGCCTGTATTTATGAAGCCTCTCAACTGTCAGAGAGTAGAGGTGGTGAGGGTTGGGGGTCTGTTAAAGGATATTTTAGAGGCTCATTAAGTGTCACATTGTGATATATACAATAAACAATTTACAATATGCCTGTAAAGAACTTTTCATGGGTACACCTGCAAATAACTTTAGAGATCAAGCAATATATTCTTTGTGGGAATAGACAACCCCACTAACACCATGGCCCCATTAAAATCATGTATCCTAATCCCTTCAAATCTCCTCTAAAAAACTAATGACAAAAGCAATAATTGCTTTAGCTGACAGGTAAAGATTAAAATCATTTGATGTGCGCACACTTGAATCGACTTCATGGGAAGAAACATGCTTCTTATCACATTAAAACACTCCAACCACTAGGGTAAAACTTCACATGTCAAGGAACAAAGCAATATTATACATACCCTTTATTTAAATCTTACTCGATAATCAACAACTAAACCAGAGATCTTTAGTAAGATAATTCAGAGACATAAGGTTACTATTCTTACAAAACGACAGAATATATAATATATATCCCCATAGAAGAATTCAAGATTATCAGCCCACCATGAAAAGGCATTAGAAGACAAAGTGACAAAGGATTCCTCATTGCTAATGATATATTTGCATCCAAAACACATACAGAAAAAACTGCAAGCAGACTTAAAAGCAGCTCCTCAACTTTCTCAATTAATAAAGAAGAAAACATACACAAGAAAAGGATTATATATATATATATATATATCTATCTATATATAATTATGTATACTATGCAATCCTTACTTTCTATTAAAAGAAACCGCCATTTTTTTCGTACAAAACATTACATTCAACTACTAATTTACTAAAAAACCAAAACACAAATTCAGGATCAGCCCATCTCTAAAGCATATTCAGCAATTGGTTGACCCTCAGCAAGTACCTCCGTCAAACAAATTTTTTGAAGTTCCCCAAGACTTTCTAACAGAAACTGAGTAAACTAATACCTCCAATATTGATGTGGCATCTCCCTTTGATATCCTTGTAGAAGGTGAACAAGATGGACCGCCTGGGACCAAACCAGTTCATCCAGCCTCTGCCAAAGCTGAGTGTGGCATGGCCATAATTGGCGGATGCTGGGCGATTGTCTACACCCAGCAAGTGCAAAAGGGAGAGACTTTGTCCGAGCATGTATAATCAGAGTAATGATACAAGGACTCTGGTAGAATTAGAGTAAAAGTACTGAGATAATCCCTTTTGTATATGTGTATCATTCGGTATCAGCATTGAGTGCATAGCTTTTCTTTTCCTTAAAAGAGTTTCTTTTCCCTGAGATATCCTAACGGACACATTCTGCGTGGGGAGGACACCAATTTAAATTTAAAATGGAGAAAACATACCGACATCCACACCTCTTTTCAATGATGTGCGTAAGGAAGTAAGAGTAAACAGGTTGCTACGCAGACAAATAGTAAAATAATTAATCCATACTTCACCTTGCCTTGAGAAAAAGGAAACTGAAAAGGAAGAAATTAAATTATAACTCTTAGAGAGAAAAGAACTAACATTTAGCAACAAACATGTGATACCCAAAACTACAAATTTGTCAAAAGTCTACCGAGGAGTTAGAATGTGTAGGAAGGAGATTGGGTAGGATTAGAAAAGAGAAGATGTGGTGATTCAGGTAGTTAGAAAATCTTTTGTATAAAAAACAAATGCATTAGACCAGAGAGTTTCAATATTCATTAGCAAATACGTAACATATGGTCACCATCCATTGGTAAAACTTCTCTTGACAACTCTTAGACAGCACAGTGCCACAACATATTCAAGAACCTTCATAAGCCAGCCATTCAAGTAGTGCAAGTAAATTCAATATGTCTGCAATCTTACGGTACCACATACACAACCAGGATGTCAATTATTCCGTTTGAAAAACCTGAAAATAGCCCTAACATGAACATGTAAAAGTTGTGTGGAGATATTACCATCGGACCTGATGCTTAGGTCCTCCACTCCTACACTGAGGAGTTGACAGAGTGATCAAGCATTAAGTCTCTTTCCAGCAATTTGAACGCCAATACCATGGCACCCTCTGTTTTTCCAATTTCTTAAAAGCTCTCCAATAACTGTACAATAAAAAGTCTGCCTTTCGTAATTAAAAGAGACATATATATATATATATATATATATATTGCTATTCAATATATCAAATTTGCGGACAGCAACATCATCAATTCCTATGACTACTCACCTCAAGATCATCAAAACCAAAATCAAATCCGAAAAAGAAAAAAAAAATCCTTCAAAACCAAGAACACATTCAAAGCTGTCAGCAATGTATTATATTCACCATTATGAATCTCCTCAGCAACTCAACCTTGCCATTCCTGCAAAAAGCTATCAGCAATGTATTATGTATTTCATAGTATCAGAATTGCCGCCTTATACCGGCAGACATCAAGAGCAACCCCCCAACCAGTCCAAAGCCTCTCTCTCTCTATGTCTCTCTCATCAACATACCCAATCAGGAACTGAAATGCTCAGAACTCCTCCAGAATTTCTGGTCAGCTCTCAGCTGCGTATTTATACCTATAAGTAATGGGCTGGGCTTTCGAATAGGCCCATAAGATGGGCCATAATTAATTCGATGGAACGACGTCCTTGCGTTTTGGCAGTTGTCTTCTCAACCCAGCTCTGAATGAACGAAATGATTTGCAGTCTAAAATTCTCAAGGAACAGTCGACATTCTTGGAAATGAAATGGAAATGGAAATGGGAAGTGAGCCGGGAATGTGCTTCGAGTGCCTTCAACAACGCATTGAAATTGATTTCTCCGGGAGACTCACTTTCGTCCACGGTCTCACCTGTTCTCCCCTCCCTTTCGGTTCTAGCGCAGTCGTTCAGGTCTTCAACTTATACATACGTATTTACTTGCTCAATTGAAATATGTTTTTATGTATCAGTAATCTCCTTTGTTGGATGTAGGTGTCAAATTCTGGTGGAGTAGCATCGCAGCAACAGTTTGTATTGAATTATGTACCTTATAGTGCAGGGGATTGCTTTTCCCGATACATGTAACGATGGATCCTGACTATTCCATTCCATCCCATTCCTAGTACCCGTTCATGTAACTGTTGTTTTGTTTTCAAATGGAGTAGCCAAACATGACACACACTTACTCCTCTGTGTATGTCTATAGCCTGATTTGATTGATGACTAATCTGATCACTGATGTTGATTGAGTAGGTATAATATATGCCAACATTAAATTATTCCCCCTCATAGTAGTATTTTTTTTTTTGTGACTTTGTGCTGCTGTTTCATTGTGATTAGTTTTGTATCATGAACGTGTGCCTCAATAGATATCATAGGAATGCATGACGGAAAGATGTTATGATTCATATAGTTGAACAATATATATTTGTGTATATATATACTAATTTAGTACCTTTTAGATGACTAGATCTCATTCTTTTTTACAGTGATGAATATTGTGCCCTTGAAGCTGATAATTGTAGCACCAGAGAGAACTTGGACTCCTCTTATGTAAAGAAAGATGCAACAGAGTTTAGTGATGAGATTTTTAGTAATAAACATTCCACTTCAGATGCAAAGAACACTGAATGTAGACATTTCATGAGTGGGGGCAGAAATACATACCTTACTAGATGTGATTTGTGTAACATCAGCAGTATATTTTCTTGTTCAAGGGCAATTACTTCATTGGCACCAACTCCTCAGATTGGGTGTGCATCATATGAATTATTTGAAGAAATTGCTTCATATTTCTCATCTGGCTTGTTTGAAGATCACATTTTGCATTCAGTAAACCATTTTATAGAAGGAAAATCTGTGGGGCGTGATAGTATAAACTTTCTTAGTTTGGTAGGAGTGCCCTCATTCAAGGAAAATGGATTTCCTGGATGCACAAGGCATCCAAATATTGGCCCCATTCTGGGAATGATGAAGTCATCCAGTCTAATTAGTTTAGTAGTTCCAAAGACTCCATATACACTTGAAAATGTCCTACACTATAGTCCTAGTTTCATAAAATCAGATTGGCATGTGCGGTTTATAATCTACCAGCTACTCTCAGCTCTCTGTTACATGCATGGTCTAGGTATTGCCCATGGGAATTTACATCCAGAAAACATTTTATTAACTGATACATCTTGGTGTTGGGTGCAACTAGGTAAGAAGCAGTTGCTGAAATCCAAGATCACTAATGAGGCCTATAAACATTCATATGGTGATTTTTGTTTTGAAGGCTGTTCCTCTCATGCCCTTTATGCTGATCTACATCTCTCTCAATCTGACAATTGGCAGTCCAGTTTCCATAAGTGGTGGAAAGGAGAGATGAGTAATTTTGAGTATCTGCTCATTTTAAATAGACTAGCAGGGAGAAGGTGGGGTGACCACACATTTTATACGGTCATGCCTTGGGTCATAGATTTTAGTACCAAACCTGATGTCAATATTGATTCTGGGTGGAGAGATCTAAGTAAGAGCAAGTGGCGCTTGGCAAAAGGTGATGAGCAGTTGGATTTCACTTACTCAACATCTGAAATCCCTCACCATGTATCTGAAGAGTGTCTCTCTGAATTGGCTGTTTGCAGTTATAAAGCAAGGAGGCTGCCGCTTAGTGTTTTGCGGATAGCTGTTCGTTCAGTTTATGAACCTAATGAGTATCCATCTAATATGCAAAGGTTATATCAATGGACTCCAGATGAGTGCATTCCTGAGTTTTATTGTGATCCAAGCATATTTTATTCTCTACATCAAGGCATGCCTAATTTGGCTGTGCCTTCATGGGCTGCTACTCCAGAGGCGTTTATAAAGATGCATAGAGATGCTTTAGAGAGCAACCGGGTTTCATGCCAATTACATCAGTGGATTGATATTACATTCGGTTACAAAATGTCTGGTGATGCTGCTGTTGCTGCTAAGAATGTAATGTTGACTTCATCAACTTCAAAGTTGCCCAGGTCTACCGGGCGACGCCAGCTTTTTACTCAACCTCATCCTCCACGTCATATCATTACAAAGGAAACTTGTAAGGAGAACACCCATCAAACTGAAACAATTTATTTTGAGGACAAGAATGCTTTGTATACCGGAATGAGTCATTTAAGTAAACTGGAAGAAGCTATTTCATTCTGTGACAATTCCTGGAACTTAACCCCTAATTACATTGTCCATGCTAGTGCCCATTTGAAAAGTAATCATCATAAAGAGGACCATTTGATCGATACCTCTGAGAATGTGCCATCTAGAGAAACCGAGTGTGGAACGGAATGTAAGAGGACCACAATCATTGATTCAAGTGATGTTCTTGATAAATTTGAGGTGGATGATGATTCTATAGGATATCAAGAATTACTGCTTTGGAGGCAAACATCTTCCTCAGAAATTTCTTCTGAAAGTACTGCTAATGACATATTTAGTATTGGCTGTATTTTAGCAGAACTTGAGCTGGGAAAGCCTCTTTTTGATCATGATTCGTTAGATTCTTACTTGGAGGATGGTGTCTTACCAAGCTCAGTGCACGACCTTCCCCATCATATGAGAGTAATTGTTGAGGCTTGCATTCAGAAGGAATGGAATAGGTAAGATTTGTTTATCTCCTCTTGCACTACCTGCATCAATTGAAAAGTTTCTGTATGGATATGAAACCCTCCAGCTACTTTATTTATTTCATGGGAACTTATTTTGTATTGAAAGTACTGGCCACTTTTACTGAATTTGTTTCCTTTTCTATTTCAAATTTTTAGGAAGCCATCTGCTAAATGCCTTTTGGAATCTCCATATTTCCCTAATTCAATCAAGTCATCCTACGTGTTTTTGGCTCCGTTTCATCTTCTGGCAAAAGAGGAATCACATCTTCAATATGCTGCAACTATCACAAAACAAGGGGCTCTGAAAATGATGGGAGCTTTTGGTGCTGAAATGTGCGCTTCTTATTGCTTGCGCCTTGTAGTGAATTCTGGCTCAGACACTGAAGCAGATTTGGGTTATGTAGTCTTGACAGAATTTCTGAAATGTCTCAAGTTAGAGGCAGTAATCAAGCTTGTGCTGCCATCCATCCAGAAAATTTTACAGGTCCAAATTCTAAATAACTCTAGCCTGTCCTCTAGATCTAAATAAAGAACTTTTTTGGGTTGTTAAGTTTGTTTCAGCAGTTTTGTTTTCTTCTTTCTTTGCTTCTCATTTGAAAATTTGTCTCAATCCAGGCTATAGAGGATTCACATTTGAAGGTTTCTCTTCTCCAAGGCTCATTTATGCAGGAGATGTGGAATAGGGTAGGTAAGCAAGAATACTTGGAAATGATACATCCACTTATAATATCAAATTTGAACAATGCTCATCAGAAGAGCTCCACTTCTGCTGCCTCTGTTCTACTTGTTGGATCTAGTGAAGAGCTTGGTGTGCCTGTTACAGTTCATCAGGTTTGATTATGCTCACTTTATCTGTTATGTAATCTGAAAGCCCTATATTATCTGACATTATAATCCTTGTAGTGTACTTCCTATGTAAATAAATACACACACACACACAGTAATCTAATGTATATTAATTGTTTCAGACAATTATTCCTCTGCTACTCTCTTTTGGGAAAGGGCTATCAAATGATGGAGTTGATGCATTGGTTAGGATTGGTATGCTCCTGATATTGGCCTGCGAAATTGTAACAATTTTAAAAATATGCCAGTTTAACTTATACAATTAGCTTTCTCAGGTACACTTTATGGAGAAAATTTTATTATGAAGCAGATTATACCCCTGCTACATAGCATCATAGAGACGTGCATCAGTGCTTCATTCGTTCATAATGCTGAACCCATTCAGAGTTGGGCCTCTTTGGCCTTGGTAGACTGTCTAACAGCTTTAGATGGTCTTGTTCCCTCGATGTCAACCGAGACAATTGTCAAGGAGCTGATTGAGGTATTCCGTTTCATTAGACAATAAAGTTGAAAACACAGTAAAAAGCTACGGACCATGGTTATTTGAGACTGAGTAATATAGTGATAATTATGAACTTATAATAATGCAGGAAAAAAATTGCCCATATGTTCAGATTCTCATGCAAAAAGATATTGGGATCTGTTTGCTTCAGGTATTTATACTTGTCCCTGTTGCAATTGTATTCTGAAATTCAGATGGTATCTTATGCCTTTTATTTTAACTTGGCCTTGTGGCTTCCCTCTATCTGTGGGAGTAATAGTGTTTTTGGCGATACCAATATGATTGTGAAGTTTGTAAAATTTCTTAATTAAATTTCTTGATAGGTGAATCAGGGTGAATATTGTTGGTGCAGTATATATGGATAACAACATGATATTTTAAATAAGAGAAAATTGCAAATTTGGTCCTGTAAGTGACGTCTCTATCATTTTGATCCTTTGGACCTTGCATGGAATTTTTTTTGTATCTCACTTTTCGTCACTCTAATGGTTCTATATTTGCTTGATACTTACAAGTTCTTCTGAAAAGTGATTAGTAGAAGGTCCACAATGCGATTTGAGTGTCATGTTTATATATAAGAATATTAGATTGATGATGGGTATAAAATTTCTTGCTATGTCTATAAAAATCCACCATTTTCTCCCACATCATCACAGTCAAACCAAAACCCGAACCAAAACACAAAATACCCAAGTAAACAAACCCATAGTTTTACTACACAAAGGAAGAGATTGAAGGAGGATAAAACAAAGTTGCACAAATATGATCACATTTACCAGTAGTAACTGAAAACATTAAAATATGGATCGATGAGTTTTATTAACTCTATTGCTAATTTATTAATATTATTTATTATTTTATGTAATTATACTACAAAATAAGGTTGGTAATCAAGACAAGTTTGAGGAAATTTGGGATGGGACACCCCTTGTTCCAGTCTCATCCTAAAATTTTATTGGGATTTGGGACTGAAAATCCTATTGTGGTCCCCCACTGATATTGTTTTGAATGCTTTGGGATGAGACGGAACGTTCCATGTCCACCCCTAGTTGCTCTAGTAAACTCTTCAGCATTAACATACAATTTTATTCTTTTTGGAACCATGGTATTTTAAACACTGGTGCATTTGTTCCATTATACTTGGTTTCTGTGAATTTTTAGGCATCCTTCAGGAAGTCACAATCTATTTGAGATTATTGCATCATTTGATTAATGTGAATTATCTTCCATATTTTGAATTAATACATCACTTTCTTCTAAAAGTTCATATTGTCTTGTCATACAGCTAATTGATGCTCTGTTGAACCTAATTATCCATTTTCCAGAAAGCTGCCAAGAGTCTTGTTAGAGTTTGCCAGCAGATTGGGCCAGATTCAACTGTGTTTTATGTTCTGCCAAAACTAAAGGAGCTGTTCGATGAGATTGCTTTCTCTCAAAAAAATAGTGATTCTGTAGATTTAGTTGGGGGCCTATTAAAAACTAAACTGAATGCGGTTGAAGAAGATAGCATTGTTAACCGCATGGACTTGGCGTAAGTAGCTCTCTGATTATTAGTGCTTACATCTCCTGGTAATTATCACGTGTGATTTGGGGCAAATATGTAAATATTTAAGCCTTGGCAGGTTACTTTTGTATCCTGAGTTTGCTTCTCTGCTTGGGATTGAGAAACTTCGTCACTGTTGTGCCACATGGCTGCTTCTTGAGCAGTTCCTCCTGCGGCATCATAATTGGAAGGTTATCCCTTTTATTTTTGTAGATTGCTTTTGGTATAGGAAGACTTATGCTAAACACAATGTGCATGTTATATGGTGTTGCTCGGATCATTATCATCTTTTGTTTTTAATATAACAAGCAACTCAGGCATTTATGTTAGGCGTATGTAGCTCTCAACTATGGCCATAATGACATGGGGAGTTCTCTACATGAACAACATATATTTTTTATGCTTCTTTTATGGTTTATAGGTGGTGCTCAAAGGCCATTTGCATGCTATTGATGATCAATGATCAAGAAATTCATTGGTAGTTGGCTAGATTTTATTTTAACATGCAAGGAATATGCACATATAATCTTCGCAAGGTTGAAAAGATTGAATCTTGAAGTTAGCATTTTCATTTGAGCACTTCAGGTCATTATATGAGAAACCCTGAGATCTCACATTGAAATACTCTGAATTTCTGGTGACACCAATATGATTGTGAAGTGTTGTGAAATTCGTCAATTCAAAGTCAACGAGACACAATATTATCTTTAGACGGAGATGCATTAAAGTCAATTTATAGAACAGCCGAATTTGAAAATTGGTCCATTCACGCCTTAGCATGTCATTTTTCAGTGGGTGCATACAGGAGATTTCGTGCAATATAGTTCAGAGAGTATGAATGGAAGAAGATCCACATACAACAGGGCCTCGACATCAGAGAATGTGCCTGCCCATTTTTCACCCAATGGGGTTGGATGGTCAAGACCACAATCACAGGGTAAAAAAGGATCCAAAAGTTTCCTTCCAAGCAAAGTTATGTCTGAGCATCATCAAAACCTTGCAGATAGGCATGGAGCAAGTTTAAATTTAGAGATGCAGGAGCCTTGGTATTGGTTCCCCAGTCCTGCAGCTGGCTTGAATGGGGTTGATTTTTCTGCCCGTGCTGGTGGTCCAAAGGATGATCTACCATGGAAAATTAGAGCAACAGTGATACAATCCATCCGTGCACATCATGGAGCTCTGAGATCATTTGCTGTTTGTCAAAATGAGTGTACAGTATTCACAGCTGGAGTTGGCCCAGGATTCAAAGGAAGCATTCAGAAATGGGAATTGTCAAGAGTTAACTCTATATTAGGCTATAATGGCCATGATGAGGTTTGCTTCATTTATTTTATGGTTAAAATACATTATGTGCAAGATTTTGAAGTCTTGCAATGCAAGAATTTTGTTTACATTGTGACATTCCGAATACTTACCGTTTCCTCTGTATTATCATTTTCTCTTTGCTTTCCTTTTCCTTTTATTATTATTATTATTATTATTATTATTTTATTTATTTATTTATTTATTTTTTTCACTTATATCTAAATTAAAGAGGAGATATATGGGAAATGTAAAGTTCATGAAATTTGTAAGGTACTATGGTGAGCATTGAGTGAAAGATCAACAAACTGTATGCCAATGGTTTCCATCCCTTTTGGATAGTAACTGAACTGTACACAATGCACTCTCTACTTCTATTTTTTCCATCATTTTGACTGTATACTTTGTCTTGTTCCAAATTTCTTCCAAGTGGTATATTCATAATTGCATATTGGGGCTACAGTTATACACCTTACAAAGTATTTATAATCCTTGAGTTGATATTAAATCTTTCTGCATGGCTAACTCTTACACTTGATCATGTTTACAAATCAGGCTAATCTTTCAGAACTATAGATTTACTATTTGTTCATTCTATTAAAGATTTGCATATTAGAAGTCAATATTTGTCTGCTTGTTTTGTACTTATGTTTTTTTGTTCTACAATTCTTAGTTTTTCCATATTTCATTTCTCTTACAATTTTCTTATGCAAGGTTGATATTCTGTGGGATGCTTTGCTTCTCAGCGTTTCTGCTGTTCTTTGGAAGAATACTGTCTTCTAGGGGTGTGTTCGTTTGTATGATTTTGATAAAATCCTACTATTTATCCAAAATTTTCCCCCCAAAAACATCAAATCAAACACCTATTTTTCATTTTTTATATTATACTAAAAATCAATTTTACATTCAAAACATCACATCAACACCTATTTATATCACATCATACAACTATTCAAATTCAAAATTTTTACTATTCAAATCCCAACTCAAAATCCAAACCCCCAAACAAACACGCCTACTCTTTTGCATGACTAGCCATATGTATTTTGCATCCATTCAAGAATCAATGCAGCTTATTAGTAACAGGTTAATAAGGATTTTGCTAGAATATATGTGCAATAATTTTGTCATTAGTGCTTACTGGTAAAAATGCATATAGCTATTGTTTGAGACTTTGAGTATCAAATACTTGTGTATGTAGAACAGGGAGGTAGTAGAATTTTAAATTGTTGTCTATTCATTGTTTCATGGATATGTGGTTTGAGGGTAAAGACCTTTCAGGGTTAGCTTTAGTATTAGCTTTTTCAGGGTTTGCTGTGCTCTGTCACTGCATAAATGATAAAAAAATATCTGACGTCTCTGTAATTGACTTTTCATTGTCAGGTTGTGAATGACATTTGTGTCTTAGCTTCCTCTGCAAGGGTAGCTTCTTGTGATGGGACAGTACATATATGGAATGGACAAACTGGAAAATTTATTTCTGTGTTTTCAGAGACTTCTTCAGGGTCTACACAATTCATTGAAAGAGATTTAGACCACGTGCTTAATTTCAATCCACTACCTGGTGGGATCCTTAGTACTGCATTTCATGGAAATTCATATACTACGATGAACTACTTGGAATTCAGTGATAAGCTTTTGGTGGGGACTGGAAATGGATCTCTCAGGTATTTATTTATTTGAAATGCTAATCACATTTTTTTGTACATTGATATGTCTTGACTACCGTTCTTGTGTTCAGATTTATTGACGTCAATCAAGGGCAGAAACTACAACTTTGGAGGAGTGAATCCATAGATTCGGGTTTCCCTCCCCTTGTGTCATCCATTTGCTCATCGAGCTCTGCTGAAGTTAATCCTGATGAAACTGCAACCTTTCCGTCCTGGATAGCAACTGCTTTAAGCACTGGCTACTGCAGGCTATTTGATATGCGAAGTGGAAAAATTATTGCATCGTGGCAGGCTCATGATGGTTACGTGACGAAGGTATGCCAGCTTCAAGATGCAAAAATGAGATAACAGTTTATATTCACACAACTTTTCTATGCTTGCAGTTAGTTGCCGCTAACAATCAGCAGCTTGTTTCTAGCTCTCTTGACAAAACTTTGAAGATTTGGGATTTGAGAAGGTAAACTTCTTGTCACATAGTGCCAACAGGCACTGATGTTTTCCTTTCTTTAATCCTGACCTATTCTCAAATTTGATGTATTCTTATCTTTGGTGAAATTGATTGGATCATGCAGTTAAAAAAAATATAAATTGAGTTTAATATTGCATATAGAACTAACGCATCACAAATCTTTGCATGCAAACCACATATAACAATCTGATAAACGGAGAACGAGAAATAGAGAAGAGAGCTAGAGAAGGAAGATAGAATACTTCATTTCATCTTATACCAAAATGATATAAAAACACATATATCCCACTAGCTTCTCCAAGAAGCTATTTCAAACTAATAATAGCCACACATTCTACTTTCCACATCATCAACATTTTGAATTTAAATATAAAACTCAAAATATCAAAAAAGAGTTCTTTAGGAAATCTCAAATATCAACGATCACCTCCTTTGAGATTTTGCTAAAACTCCCATCTGATCTCTAAGCTTCTCAAACATATTGTGTAGAAGCCTTTTTGTCATCATGTCAGATCAATTGATCTTCAGATCGACATTAAACCATACCAACTTCACCATTTGCTTCAGCTTCACTTATTGAATGAAAGTTAACACCAATGTGTTTAGTTATGCCATGGAAAACAAGATTCTTTGACATAGCAAGGTCTTATATGTTATCCAAAAACAACTTGATAGCAAGGTCTTATTTGTTATCCAAAAACAACTCATTTTCATTTAAATTATCATCATTGATTTGAGAATGGAACTGGTATTGTCAACATTTGATGAATTCTCTCCCATATCCTTCAATTTTCTATTTGTTATAACTTTCAATTCCAATAGCTTCCTTCATTAAAGATAATATCTCGACTGATATTCACTTTATTTTTCTTCAAATCATAAAGTCAGTAATTGTTACATTTTGTAGAATTTAAGAATTGTATATTATTTATAATAAAATTAAAAGCCTATAGATATGCGTGATAAAAACTCGTTTGACTCAAATAGTAACATCCTAATCTAATGAATAATAATGACCTAATCTAAATAAAAGAAATCTAATTTGAACTATAAATTAAATATGTAAAATATCTCGACATTTCCTTTCAAACTCAAGTGGTGTCGAAGAAACAACTTTGAATTTTTCAAGAGATAAAAAATGACATAGCCAAAATTGCTCAGGAAGTAACACTTTCAATTGAGTTGAAGTTGGAAATGAGACTTGCTTACAATGGAGTTAGAGAGTCGCTCATATTGAATTAAAGTTTGAAACGAGACTCGCTCATAAGGAGGTAGAGTCGAAAATGGGGCTTTGAATGAAATCACGACAAACAATCAAAGACCTAACATAAAATTTTCATAAACAACTGCAGCCAAGATCTCAAAATCGGGCCATGATAAAAACTCAATAGATTCAAATAATAGCAATCTAATCTAGTGAATATAACCAAATAATAATAACATAATCTAGATAATAGAAATCTAATCTAAACAATAAATTAAATATCTAAAATATCTCAATAAATATTCTCCTTTAAACTAAGTGGTGTCGAAAACTAAGAGAGATTGAAAATGAAAATGACGTAGCCAAAATCGTTCACTGTATCAGAGTCAAAAGCAATGCTCTCAACTAAGTTAACGTTGGAAATGGGGCTCGCTCACAACATAGCTCAGGTCGAAATGGGATTCGCTTATAATGGGGTTAGAGTCGCAAACAGAACTAGCTTATATGAAGGTAGAGTCGAAAATGAGATTCCAAACGCATTCAAAAACAAGCTTTGAATGGAATTACAACAAACAATCAATGATCAAACATACACTTTTCAAAAGCAACTACAGCGAGGATCTCAAAATCAAGAGATCTCCGAGTAAATTTCAAGTTGAACGTACCTGAAGGAACGTGGCTCTAATGCCATGTTATATTTTTAGAATTTAAAAATTGTATATTATTAATAATGAAATCAGGGGCCTATAAACAAGCATGATATAGACTCAACAGACGCAAATAAGAACAACTTAATTTAATGAATATAACCAAATAGTAATGACCTAATCTAGATAATAGAAATCTAATTTAAACCATAAATTAAATATCTAAAATATCTCGATAGTAACCTTTTGTTCTTGAAGCATAACCAAGAAAAATTCCAGGTTGTATTTTTTGCTCCAATTGTGGTTGCTGGAACATGTACACAACACATGCACCCAAAAACTTTTTAGTGCTTTGCAAATGGCTTGCTTCCACCCAACTCTCAATAGGTGTAGTATCTCTCATTGAAGTAGTATAGGACCTATTATGAAGGTATACAATAGTAGAAGCAGCCTCTGCTTGGAAGCTTCATCTAAAGTAGCATACATCTCACTATTTCAACAATAGTTTGATTTCCCCTCTCCACAACTCCATTTTGTTTAGGAGAATATGGTGTTGTGACTTGTGAGCTGATGAACAATGCCATTATCATGAAAAAAATTGTTGAAAGCACTTGAATTATACTCTATCCCATTATTGGTTCGAATGCCTAATAACTTGCAGCCACTTTGATGTTCAACTTCACTTCAAATCTCTTGAACACTTTGTGCACTTGTAATATCTGCTTGATGAAGTATATTCAAGTCATTCTTGTCAAGTCATCTATGAGCAACACAAATATTGACTTATTGCAAGATTCGAATTTCATAAGACCACAAACATCTGAGTGAACAAGTTGTAGCTTTCTTTCAGTTTTCCATGCTTCTGACTTGAGAATATTACTCGTGTTGCTTTCCAAGTTGGCAAACAGTACACACTTCATTTGGATTAGAGTGAAATGGCATGTCTTTAACCAAGTTATTTTTAACCATATGACTAAGAGCTCCATGATGATTATGTCCATATCTTCTATGCCACAACCTTGACACATCAACCTTAGATATAGTAGCAAAAAAAACACCTTAGATATATTAGCCATATCAACAACCTCCGTATGCATATAGAGTGGAAAATGCCGGTCAACCAGTGGAAATTTGACAAGCAAGGTATTGCGCATATCATAGATAAAACAACCTTACCTTCATACTTGAAAGATAAATCATATCTATTTTGTAGGAACTGACCAACACTTGGTTTGCGTGCTAGTTTTGGAATGTAGAGAATGTTTTTCATGAGCATAGTACCTTTCTTGGTCTTCACCTCTATGTTTTCTTTCCCTTCAGCTTGTAGCATCTGACCATTGCCAATCTTCACTCTAGTCTTTGACTCTCTATAGTTCTATTAAGTTTGAAGTATAAACTCTCATCTCGTGACATATGTGAGGTTTAAACCACACGCACTATCAATAAACCATAAAATACTTGTTTTGTCTGACCTAGTTTGCAGGGTACTAGGTTCGGCCGGGAGTTTACCCAGTACGCACTTTTGGGTAGCGACTGCGGGTTTCCACGTCATAAAAAATAAAAAATAAAAAGATCATAAAAGGCTAACTTCTCCTTTATCTCTCTGTTCTTCCACAATATTAGCTTGTTGAGCAAGCTGTGATTGATTCAGGTCATGTTGCTGCTGCTCAGGTTTACCACTCTTTTCTACATGTCTTTACTTCTTACAAAACCAATACTGATTTCTTTTTTTCCTTTGTGAAGAATATCGTTGTTTCATTGATGTACAAAAAAAAAAAAATGATTTTACAATATACAAAACCATAATATATTAAAATTATACAAAATACCTAAATTGTCCTTATACTATTATAAATACAAAATATTTTTATACATAATATATCTAACACTCCCCTTAAACTGGAGAATACAAATCGTATGATCCAAGTTTGTCACATAGAAATTTAATTCGAGGGTCTCTAAGAGATTTGGTAAGAATGTCTGCAAGTTGCTCATTCGAAGCAACATGGTGAGTGGCGATGCATCCAGATAACACCTTCTCCCGAATAAAATGACAATCAATCTCTATATGTTTAGTCCTCTCATGAAACACTGGATTAGACGCAATATGCAAGGCAACTTGATTGATTGTCACAAAATAGTTTCATTTCTGAAACTTCCACTATCTTGAGGTCACGAAGAAGCTATTTTACCAAAATAAGCTCACATGTCGCTAATGCCATGACTCGATATTCTGCCTCTACACTTGAGCGAGCAACAACATTTTGTTTGTTACTTTTCCATTAGATAAGGTTACCTTCCACAAATATGCAATATCCTGAAGTAGAGCGTCTATCAACTGGGGATCCGCCCAATCAGCTTCTGAGTAGCCAATTACTTCAGTATGACCTTGATAATAATCCTGTACCAGGAGACCCTTTGATGTACTTCAAGATTCGAATTGCAGCATCTAAGTGACTATCGCATGGAGATTGAAGAAATTGACTACAACACTTACAACAAAAAATATATTAGGTCGAGTAAGTGTGATATAGCTAAGCTTACCAACCATTCTACGAAATCTTTATGCGTCAGCTAATGGCTCCCCTTGTCCCGGAAGAAGCTTTAAATTTGGATCCATAGAAGAGTCTATGGGCTTGCTGTTAGACAAAATAGTTTCTTCAAGAATATCCAATGCGTACTTTCGTTATGAAAGACCAATACCGTCACGTGATTGAGCAATCTCAATGCCAAGAAAGTACTTCAATGGTCCCATATCCTTAGTTTGAAAATGCTTAAATTGATGTTGTTTTAACTAAGTGGCCTCTTCTTGATCATTTCCGGTGATAATAATATCATCAACATACACAAGAAAGTATAAGCACTTACCACATGATGTGTGCATATAAAAGACAGAATGGTTTAATGCGCTTCGGATTATGCCAAACTTCTGTATAACACTGCTAAATCGACCAAACCAGGCACGCGGAGATTGTTTCAATTTATAAAGCGAACAACATAGTTTGCAAACAAGACCAGACTCCCCCTGAACAACGAATCCAGGTGGTTGCTCCATATCAATTTCCTCCTAAGTTCGATATGTAGAAATGCATTCTTAATATCAAGCTGATGAAGAGGCCAGGAATGCATAGCAGCCAAAGCAATAAAAAGATGGATCGAAGACATTTTGGCAACATGAGAGAAGGTTTCAATATAATCCTTACCAAAGACCTGTGTGAAGCCTTTAGCCATCAAACGGGCCTTGAGACGAGCAACTTGACCATCCAAATCAACCTTAACTGCGTAAACCCAACAGCACGCCACGGGAGACTTATCTAAAGGCAAAGGCACCAAGTCCCAAGTACCATTAGCATGCAAAACATCCATTTCATCTACCATTGTCTGTCGCCAACCTGGGTGAGAAAGAGCTTCACGAAGGGATTTAGGAAATGAGATGGAGGATAAGTTTGACACAAAAGTATAGTATGTGGGAGACATACGATGAAAACTAAGAAAATTGTAAATGGGATGAGGATTACGAGAAGAACGAGTACCTCGTTGTAACGGTGCAGGGTCCGGAAGGATAGGAGCTGCAGGAGAAGAAGACAATGGCAAGTCTTGAGAGTCAGGACAATCGATAGACGCTGGAGAAACATGAGCGGTAGAACCATCGGAGGGGGACACTTGGGGGCGAGGACGACAACTATAAACCTGAAGAGGTGGACGCGAAAGAAGAGGAGAAGAGAAAGGAATAGATAACACGTGGCTGACATACGGGATCAAAGATGACAGAGAGAAATAAGATGTGGACTCGAAAAAGGTAACATCGGCTGAAAAGTAATACCTACGAGTATTAGGAGAGGAACACTTATAACCCTTTTGAACCCTAGAATAGCCAAGAAAAACACACTTCAGCGCACGTGGAGCTAACTTCTCCCGACCCAATGAGTGATCATGAAACAAATGTAGTACACCCAAAGACACGAATGGATATATGATATAAAGGATCTTGAGGGAACAACATCTGGTGGGGAATTTTATTCTGGAGAACCGGGGACGGCATATGGTTGATAAGATAGCAGGCAGTAACACATCAGCCCAAAATCGGAAAGGAACATGATGATGGACAAGCAAAGTACGAACAGTCTCAATTAGGTGGCGACTTTTGCGTTCAGCCAACCCATTTTGCTAAGAAGTATAGGCACAAGAGGACTGATGTAAAATACCATGATAATATAAATTGAATCATAAGAGTAGAGAAGTATTCAGTGGCATTATTCGTCCGAAGAGTATTTTAAGAGACACACCAAACTGATTTTGAATTTCAACATAATGTTTAAAAGATAGAAAATAGTTCAGAACGAACTTTCATCAAATAAAGCCGAGTACATCTTGAGAAGTCATCAACAATGGTAACAAAGTACTGAAACTCAAATACAAAAGTAGTTCAACACGGACCCTATATATCAGAGTGGACTAAAGCAAATGGCATATCAACCCTATTATTAACCTGCCGGGGAAACGAAACGCGAGTTTTTTTTCCTAGCTGACATGAGTCACAGGACAATGAAGATAAACTAGAAAGACTTGGAACAAGCCGACACAACTTAGAGAGACTTGGATGACTCAACCATTGGTGTAATAGTTGAGGAGAGTGGAACATGCAATTGGGAATGAAGGTTGTGGAGGGTGGTCAAGGTGGTACAGTCCATGGAGCTCAAGTCCTTTGCCAATTGTCCTCCCCATTCTGCGTTCCAAAATAGAGAAGGAATCGGAGTCGGATGTTATTGAGAAATTCAAAGTTTGGTTAATTAACTAACAAAAAACAAGATTAAATGGACAATGAGGAACAAAAAGAATGGAGGATAAGGGAACACATGACAATGGTTGAGCTTCACCGAGTCTTAACAGAAACTCGTGGCCCAGCAGCTAAAGTAACATCAGGTAATAAGGTAGACTTATGAAATTTGGAAAACAATTTTGGATTACCAGATAGGTGATGAGAGGTGCCAGAATCAAGGACCCATGGTCCAAGAGAGGTACCAGTGTGAGCGACAGAGGCAACGAGTAAATGAGATGATTGCTTTGAAGCTTGGTATGCAAGATACTCCTCATAGTCTGAACCAATCAAAGTGACAGAATTACCCGATAATTGAGGAGTTTCAACCTGCACAACAGCCCAAGGTGGCCGGCCATACAATTTAAAACATTTATCACAAGCATGGCCCCACTTGTTGCAATAAGTGCAGCGTGGACGAGAGGTCCCACGAGAGCTCCCATGAGGACCAGGATCACCTTGCATATGTGAAGAAGGTGAAGCTAGTAGAGGAGACTTGTCTCCGGAATCAATAATCGGATGTGCCACAGATGAGACACGTAATAAGCGAGAATAAACATCATGAAATGAAGACTCGGAACTGTTGAGCTGAAGAGGAATTGATCACGAACCGGACTCAAATCTGGACCAAGACCAACTAGTGCACAACACTGTATAGAATGTATCAGGCTGAGTAAGCTCCTCCGCAACCGTTTTCCCTGGAGGTAAAACTGAATTGAGTTCAACTTTGATGAATGAAAATTTACCTAGATACTCTGGAATTGTCAATCTGTGTTGACAAAGATTGCCCAAATTAGATACCACACTGTAGAGGCAATGAATATCATTGGTATATAAAGTTTACACATGTCTCCAGAGATCATAACAGTTTGTAAAATTGGTAAAAACTGAATGAAAGCTTGGATCAATAGATTGCCAAAGCAAACTGCACAATAAAGCATCAACCTTAAGCCATGCAGCTTTCTCAGTGTCAACAATCTGAGCGGAAGAAATAACAAGGTGATTTGCCAAACATTGACCTGTACACTACATTTGGACAGCTTTAGACCAAGAGCCATAGTTAGAACCCCCAACCAATCGTTCGGTAGCAATAGCTGGGGTTAAAGAAAGAACACCCATAAAAGACGTTGAAGCAGACATATTTGGGACAATATTTGAATTGAAGAGAACTCTATAAATTCATTATCACAAAAGCAACAGAAATCCAAGCCATAACCTAATAACAATCCAACCTAGGAGGAGAAATACCGAACAGCCTTAATGGACAGCCAGACCGAAAGAAAGAAAAAAGGACAGCGCCGCAGCGGGGGGCGGCGCAGCGGGGTAGGATGGATGACGGGATTACGATGGCTCTAATACCAGGAAGAATATCGCTGTTTCATTGACAAAAAAAAAATGATTTTACAATGTACAAAACCCTAATATATTTTCGTTTACAAGATCAATAAGCTTGGAAGAGTATTCCTTAACAGATCCACTGTCCTTCATTTCTAACAACTCAAGCTCCCTTTTGAGAGTTAAAACGTTCACAGATTTCACCGTTTCATTTCCCTCAAGCTCATTTTGTCCCAAGCTTCTTTAGGACTTTTGCAAGTGATTATCTTGGTGACACAGTCTCTGTCATTATTGAATAAATGCATGACAGTTTTTGGTTTCTTGACCTTCCCTTCTTCATGTAATTTTATTTGTGCTAGGGTTTGATTGTCTCAATGGAAGAGGGTCTCTTTCTTTTTCAATATCCCATAAAATTAAAGTCTCTAAATATACCTTCATCTTAGTTGCCCATATGAAATCATTTTCCCCGTAAAAAATAGGAGGACCTGTCCCTGAAGGATTTGTAGCAGCCATCTATCTTCAAATCTTAATTCTTGAATTCAATTCATAGGTCCCTAAGAGAAGAGTGCTCTTATACCACTCTAGTTAGGAGTAACCATATCACAAATCTTACATATCTTTGCATCCAAATCACATCACAATTTGCTAAACAGAGACCAAAAAAGATAACAGAAAGCTAGAGGAGGAAGATAGAATACCACATTTCATCTCTAACCAAATGATATATTACACATATATCCTACTAGCTTCTCCATGGAGCTATTTCCAATTAATAATAGCCACATATTCTACTTTCCGCATCATCAACACTTTTATATATAAATATATAACGCAAAAATATCAAGAGTTTTTTAGGAATTCTCAAATATGAACAAATACTATATTTATTAGTGGGTCTTATTTCCATTACATAGAAGGCTACTCATACAAAATGCATTTTTAAATTGTAGCGATTTTTTTAGGTAAATCTTATATTGCATTCATGGAACTAATTGCATCTCTGAAAGTATTAGTCTGCTATCAACCTCAAAATGATGGTGAATTTTTCTTGGCTAAATTTCAATTATGGAGTCTGGAAACAGCAACTTCTTTTACTGAGCCTTAGTTCCTTCTGCAATTTCAAAGAGGGTTCCTGGAGTGTCACACACAATTTTTATTAACTCCATGTGTATGGTCTTAGTTTATTTGGGTGGAAAAGGAAACTTAATCATGACAAGAATGATTTGAGTGAAGCACATTGCTGTGGTGCATAGTTTATACTGCAGCTGGTGGACAGCGATATTAGATAGTGATGGAACATAATGTGCAACAAGAAGCTTTTGTTGTACATCACTGCATCCATTGAAAAATGATAATGTGCACTGCTGACACTCCCTCCCTTACTCTTGTGTTTTTTCTGAAACGTTCTTAGGAATTGGACAGCAGAACAAACAGTTTTCAGAGGTTATAGCAGTGGAGTTTCAGGTTTCTCAGTGTGGGGGCAAAATGTAATCTCAGTATGCAGAAATAGAATTGGACTTTCCTCCCTGAACAGCTCTCCAGATGAGGTACCTCTCTCTTAGTGTGTGTGTGTGATATGTTCTGGTATTAAATAATGGATAATCCGTCCCCCACCTCCACCCAAGAACAAAATTAATAAATAACAGCAGGAACACATGATCATTTTGTTTGTTTCAAGTTAGAAGATCCATTAATTGTTCAGTTATGAAGACCGCGAATAAAGAAAGAGTATCTTTTTTCCTTTTATAAAACTCCCCCAATTTGCAGCAGTATGATTAAATGTGTATGTTACATGGTTGTGAGCACATGCTCTCATGCCTCTGGTTGGATATCTTATTTGTTTGGCGTTTTCTTTTTTCTTCATGTGCTTTTGAATATTGAAGTGCATACATGTGGTTGACACAGGATGGGCAGTATTCTGTCACCCCTCAGCACCTGTATACGGCGGATGGGGAATCAAAGAACATGTCTGCATTGACAGCCATTAGTATCCTACCTTTCTCACGGCTGTTTCTGGTAGGAACAGAGGATGGCCATTTGAAAATTTGTTGTTAGTTCTTGGAAAAAATTTTCCACATTGAAGAGAAGAAAAAAAAATGTGTAGACGTGGCTCTTGGATATTTACAAGGGATTGATTGTCCTTTGTCTGGTGTGTTATGTAACTAACAAGCAAATCATTTGTTAGTATAGTATAAACTATGTTTACCTTAATTTATTTGAACAAAAATATAATATTGCATTATTCCTAACTTGCCTTTCCTATTTATTTACTTTTATCCTTTGTTATTCTCATTTATTTATTAATTATTATTACTGTATAATATGCTCTTATGTTTTAATATAAATGTATGAAATACTTTATATTTAATTTTTTGTCTTATAAGTTGAAGCATGCATAAAATAATTTTTTAGTAAAATTGTAAAATTGATGTTTAGTTGTAAATACAGATTTAATTATGCAAATTATATATAAATAGAATAAAAGAAAGTAAAATATCTTAAATAATTTTAAATTTTGCATAATTAATTGATTGTTTATAATTAATTGACTGTTTCTGTCCACCCGAAATTACTAGTTATATTTATTCTAAATTCTCGTGTCTAGGACATCTAATATGTGGAACTAATACATTTTTAATTATTTACTTGTTATATTTAATCTAAATTCTCGTCTCTAGAACATCCAATATGTGGAAGGGAGTAGTATTTTGTGCAATTTTTCACTAAACACATAGGAATATTAGTGTAATTTACTCTTATTTATTTGAAGACAAGGGTTGCGAGAGCAATATCAATTTCTCCGCCAGGAAAGTATACATGAATACTATGTTCAAATACCCAAACAGAAGTCCGGTAAAGATACGTAGTATTACGGGAATGGATCACGAGTTCAAACTTCTGATGCCTACAGGTCTTACCCGACACACATGGTCTGTCGTTTAAAAGTACCAGGAAAGCATGATGAACTTACCAATTCCCAGGCAAGTTTCATCTTTCAAACCTATATATCTATCTTCACATAATAAGTGAATGATGTGGCGTGTAAAAATACAAACAAAACAATTAATCAATCTAGCAGCATCCAATTACATCACCAGATATAGACACAAGTGCATCACCAGAGTAAAGCATCCACAGCCATCCGATTACGTATATTATGCTATCTGCCTTGGCTTGCCCTCTTCCATTCAAACGAGGAGTAGGTATTGGCTTCTTCACCCCTTCCGGGTCATCCTGCGAAGATCTTATGTTTTTCGTTGCAAATGGCATGTTCATACATACATTCTCTTCTTTCCACAAGTACCAGTAAAATGACCATGACATGATGAGCTACTTATTCTACATGCCTTCCAATCATTTCTATCTCAGCCTCACCACTCAAAACCATTCTAAGAACTGTGTTCGCTCCGTGCATTATGTTTTTCCTTCCCATGTTGTCTGAATTCCAAAAGAATGTTAGCCATCACTTCATATTTCGCAGCTACTTGTTACTGTAAAGAGACAGAAGCTTCGAATTCATAACAGATAGCACCAGCAGATTGAAAGCAAAGCATGTACAAAGGGCAGCAAAAGAGATGAAGATGGCCAGGTCATCTTTTTCAATAATTTATAGTACAACGATGAATGATACTTAATGCTGACTGAATATCTCTTAGTTATTCCATTCCTTCAACCATTTAATCAATATCCAGACAAGCTTGTCCACTACCACAACATCTAGAAGAACAAGGGATATCACACATACACACATCGTTAACACCCACGTGTTCCTAAGTTAACCATCATAGCTCCTTCAGCATTCCCAATGCCATACATTTAACAAGTGCTTATAATTCCGGCTACCGTATCAGTTCCTTCCATTCCTTCTAATAGTATTCAATGGAACAGAAATTAGCCTTAGAGTTGTGCAAGGCATGCATCTTTCTATATTTGGCTCTTGAGTTTATCACACAACTCCCTCATATTAAGAAAAATATACAAATGGGTGTTCAAAAATCTTCATTGAATTGATCCTTCCAATGTCTGGCCCTGGAAAATAAGACAAAGAAACCTGTAGAAGCTCAAAGGCAATGGCATTTTGTTAATGTGAAGAGTAATTATCTGTTGAAGGAATGTTCAGTATACTTATATATACTTCAAAAAAATTCTTCTTTACACAATTATTGACTCACACCATGCCTCCACCTCAACTAAAAACAAACAAATAAATAAAAGAACCTCTGGGATGAAAGAATTAAGCAAACCTGAAGCTGAAGGCCATTGAGCATGTTAAATGAACCACACCAACAGTGTCTGCGCCTAGAAAACATTTCCCGGCATGTATGTTTCTCCAAGATGTGCAGGCTTTATGTTGTCTTCAGGAATATGCAACTTAAACAGGTTGTAAGTCCCATTTTCAATACTTGAAGGAATCCAGAAAAAGTCCAAGGGACAGCCCAGTTTTCCAATAATTGAAGACGACAATTAAGTTCCTTATATTGTCCACTAAAGGAAGTGAGGATTTGTACATAAGGGCCCCAATTCCCTCGACCACAAACACAGTCACAGCAGCAGAAAGCACATCCCAATCGCCTGTTTGCCCAATCAGAGTGGCAAAAGCAGTGGCACAATAGAAACCAACTAAAAAAGAGAACAATTTAACAGGCAGGTTTTTCATCAACTTCTTCGACCTTGCTAGTATCTTCAATCGAATAGCTTGGATAGTCTTGATAAGACGAGTTCCGCCACCGGGGTCATTAGAGGGGATAGAATTTAGCCTACTATCATCAGCAGCACTTCTAAGAGACCCTGTCATCCTCCTATACAAGATACATAGATAGAGGTATAGGGTTCAGTGAATAACAGTAGTTGGAAAGAAATTAATCGACACACTTACTTGGATTTGTGGACAGCAAGTGAGCGATGCAGGTGGGAAGAGGTCAACAAGTTGCCGAGTAACTGTAACTTAGAATCTTCAGGAATAAGAAGTTTGAGAGTGGTTAACTTGACATGTGATCCCATTTTACTTGAACCTTCACCAAAGTAACGAAAATGGCAAACAGAGCAAGGACCGCTTCAAAAATGTGTTCGATCAGCACAGAACAGAACAGAGAGGAACCCCCGGATTGTATGATTGATTCGTGTTGCTGCCTGCTGCTTGAATCTTAACTGCAAATAACCGGAGATGGAACTATTAGAATGGAAAGCAGCGGCACCTAACCCGATTCGACAATTATCGGGAAAAACAGCAGTCGAGAGGAGGAGAGGCAGGGAAAAGGGAAGGGGTCGCATTCGTTGGAAAAGCCCAAGGAATTAATCAAATGTTAAGACATAAGTCGTCATCGAAGGAATAATTGGCTGTGCGTGCGTGTCCTCCATCGACACTCCTCCTCCGCTGCTGCTGCTGCGACGCCATCTCAATCTCAATCTCAATACCTCATAAGTCTTCTTCTTCTTCATCGCAGCATCTCATAAATTAGAAGCTGGTACCCCACAATGCGCTGAAGAAGGACTGCAGGATGGAGAGGAGAGGGAGGATAAAAAATAGTCCACTGATCCACTCTCTCTCTCTCTCTCTCATATACGTATAGTATAAATATAATTATAAATTATACAAATCCTCTTTGAATTTTTTATTTTTTTTTTTTAGTTTGAATTTGAATTTTAATGAAATATATGTTATATATATATAAAAACATAAAATTTGAATTTAAAAAAAAAAAAAAAAACTAAAACTGTATTCTTACTAAGGATTGGATGGTGTTGCTTGTTATTGACTCTGCTTGGGATATTCATATACACGATAACTTAAAAAGTAGTATATGATTAATAAATAAGTGTCACTAATAATTCAGCCAACCACCGCCTAATATACATTCATACATACATACAATCAAAGCAAAGCAGCAGCAACAGCACGAATTCCATCCCTAAACACAATCAAATGAATAATGCCTTGAGTAGAGCATGAGCATGAGCATGAGCATACACACACCTCCCTCCCTCCCCTTCTTGTTCTTGAAATGTGATTGTGAGTGTGACCACTAACTACTACCGTACCAATTCACTGAGCACAGAAACACCTCCACCTCCATCAATGCTATGTATGCTGCAATTCGACTTGGAACGAATTCATCATCTGCCATCTCCAAAATATCCTCTGAGATTGTAAGTATGTATGTATGCATGCTAATGTCACTCCACTCCAGTTGCAAGACCTTCCTTCCTTCAGGTGATAGAAATGAATATTGAATATACACAATACAGCATCTAACTCAACTTCATCAACCACCAACATTCATTTCATTATCTCTTAGTGATCATTTTTATTGGAGCAACTCTGTCATCAGATCACCATCAGGGCTGCCCTCTATTTCAACATTCTGTTTTCCTTCCATCATCATCTCAGCAGCATTAGCATTCAACTTCAGCTGCTCTGCTTGTTCTTGCTCCAGATCATACACCTTGTCATTCATGCCTTCCTTCCTATAAGCATCCATCATTATAGAGTATGTCGCCGAATTTGGTTGGCACCCTTTCTCCTTCATTCTCTTGAAAACTCTCTCCATCTCCATTAAATCATCTGCCCCTGTGCACGCATACAGAACTGCATTGAAGAATGATGTATTCTCGGGTATCTCCAATCTTCCGGCTAACTCAACACTGCTAACCACTTTATGGAACATGCCTGCATTAGCATACCCTCTTATCAGACAGCAAAAGGTCTTCGTGTCCCCCTTCATGCCTTCCCCACGCATCTGATTAAATGCATACTCCATGTGCTTTGCATCCCCGACATCTGAAAATGCCTCGATTAAATTATTGTAGGTCGAGATTGTCCAGGGAAATGACAGCCTTCGCATGTACTCCATTACTGATGACATTTTATCATACATCCTTTTCTTTCCATAGGCACCAATCAGAATGTTAAACGTGCGTGTTTCTGGCTCAATTCCAAAGTTTCGGAACTTCTCATACCATCTTTCCATCATTTCAATCTGACCTTCATTACCAAATAAGCTAATAATAGTATTCATAGTCCACACATCGGGCTTGCTTGCCGTGCTGTCAAGCATCCTGGAAAGAATCTTCTCCATCTCTTCATATTTCCCTGCCTTCCCATAGCCACTTAGCACTATATTTTGGGTAACAGTATTTGGCACAATTAAACGTTCAGACATTTCATCGTAGAGAGACTCAACCATTTCAAACCGACGGGCATCAACACATGCCTTAATCAGTATACTGTACGTGTACACATCAGGCTGGCAAAGAGGAAGGGATTTCATTTGTCCAAGAATGTTGAAAGCTTTATCAATCAGATTGCTTCGACAACATGCAGCTAACAATGCTGTATATAATTCGGATGTTGGCTCTAATCCTTCTCCAAGCATTTCATCAAACAGCTGGCAGGCTTGTCCAGGTTGCCCAGATCTCCCAAGAAGAACCAAGAGCTTCATATAAGTTCCTTCCTTTGGCTGGTAAAAGGGTTGCATCTTTAGCATCCCAAAAACCTAAAATTTTGATGCCCAACAATATGCATGAGTTCTAAGTATCCATCGCCATAGCTTGAAAGGTAACTACGGACCCCTAAAAGAAAAGCAAAGCACAGCGTTCATAAAGGCTATTCTAGCCCGCTATTATGTCTTTTAATTGAGAAAACCATACACAGGACATGGGACATATACCGTTACCCTCTAATCTAATCTTCAACTCTTGAAAGAAATCGAAATCAATAATTATTATGCCGAGGGTTGAGATTGTTCTTCCATTGGAAAAGTAGCTATAATCTAGAATAAGGAACATGAATGAAAATGGTAGAAAGAACGAAGAGGAAGCAAATAGGGTTGAAGGAAGAAACGTTAGAAAGAGAAAGGAACCTGAAGAGCCCGGAGCCACTGTTTCTTGTCAATGGCTTCGGAGAGAGATTCAGTAACAGTATTAGCCCATGCCTTGGCGACATTCTTCCTGTCCAGCTTTTTCTTGATGTTCTTAATGGGGGTTCTCCTTTTATTGTTGTTGTTGTTGTTGTTGGTTGAGAATTGTGGAGTGGAGGTCTGAGAGACACCGGGATACTCCCCGATTTTCCAGTGCTTTTTCGGGGGAGGATTCAGGGTCGTTGTTGATGGCGACGGAGGAGGAGTGTCGGCGGAGGAGGAGGAGATTGGTAGACGGCGGAGTGTCTGAGGAGGGGGTGTGGGTTTAGCGATGGGCGGTCGCGAAGATGATTGAAGGAAGGAGGAGGAGAGCAAAAATTGAAATGCCGCTGCGGCCATTAGCGAATTTGATATCGAGCAGCAAAGATGGATAGAAGAGACAGATAGATATTGAGGCAGACGAGAGAGATTCAATTCCAAGGCTTTGTTTAGTTTAGGGTCTTCTATGCACATTCTTACAAGGTAGTATTTGGCAATTAAATTAGCTGTTTCGTCCAGTTAAAGAGTGGATTCAGTTGGTTTTACTTGAACATTTTACTTATCTTTTTTCTTTTAAAATTAAGACTTTGTTTCCACAATAGTTTTTTTCGAATTCCTAGTATGTATATATTTTTTCATAAAATCTAATATTCAATATAAAATTTTTATATTATTGATGCAATTACCTAATTTCGTATAAAATCTTTAAATTTGATGAATATTATTGTGTTTTTATTTCATTTTGTTAGACCTGGATGTCCTTCAATATGTATCTGTTATATCCCGATATTGATATGTGCATACCCTGTTGCTCACTGTTAGTGAATATTTCTAATAGTTTGTTGTTGCTACGTTGAATTGATGTTCACTTTCTTGCATTTTATCTTATTAAATATATTCAAAAGAATCGTGTTTTCACTCGTAAACTCGAATTTTTTTAGCATGACATTAAATTAAAATTGTGAAAACAAACATTTCAAACATTGCATTCATTACAAAGATTATTCCTACATCACTACGTATGTATGTACTCCTGTCCAAAACAAAGTTTTCATAACATTTACAAAATAATACATGCACTAAATTATTTTCACAATTTTCGCTCCACAAGATGGTTCCGTCTCACTTCGAGTACCTTTCTTCGTAGTCAAATATGATGATACGCTTTGGCGATCTTACCTACCAAATCAAAGGCCTGCTAGGTGATCGAATTCACTCAAGTTAGTAAGGACTCACTCACCTACTTTTTATCTATCTATTAATTGATTCTATCTACTAAATTCAAAAGGCAACCCAGGCAACCCACCGTTCTTGAGCCCACGAGTTAAGAACAACAAGTTCTTTATTACCTAAAGAGAATAACTGCCTAGAATAACAAAAAAGATTATATTTTTCAAGAAATGTAAAATCGTATGGATACGATCCTCATTGTGTACCTTGACTAATTGGATCGTTTCTTTGTGGATTCTTATAGAAAGCTTTTGGGGATGTGTCTCCGAGTATTCTTTTATCATTTCGTCCAATAAAATAATTTCCTCTAATTTAATGAACTTTTCCAGTATATACGGGTATGGATTCCTTGTTTCCGTACATAGTGGTTCGCATAAGGACATTGACTCCTTAAAGAGCTTGCTTTAATGACTTTTTTTTCCAGCACCCTAGCCAAGATGAAACTCGAACATACTCAATCTATGCGAGAGCAAAAGCACCTATGCTATCTCCGTACATTCTTTTTTTTTTTATGTCATGGTTAGTATAGTTTTTTTTATAGTCTATCATCGGTGCATGAACATAAAGAAGCAATTATGGAGAACCAAAATCAATATCCTAGTTTTCAATATCCAATAGAATAGGATTTTCATTTGAAGTGACATTGCCCGAAGCCATATTTCCTTTGTACACTAGGCACACTAAGTATATTAGACAAACGATGGCACCAAAGCTTAGCCTTTCCTGCCGGATCTATCACTCTGTTCATTAAATTTCAGCTATTAACCTAGTCCCATCAACTGAAGAAATGATGCACATACCAAAGGAGGAAGTCAGTTTGCTAAAGAGCATAGTCAATCTATCTTTCTTAGCATTTTATCAAATCATCAACAACTCGCCTTCTTTCCACACTGTTGCACCCTATGGTAGGACATGCCCTGTAAAAAGGAAAGTTAAAAATGTAACCGTTTTCGTAGAGCTCTTACTCTATCTGCTCTTGGTTTTCTAACCAGTGTATTTCCTCATCATAAGAGTTCTCAAGGGTAGAGCTGTCATTCCGGTGGCCTATCCATTGGAAATATTTGAGCTGTGAACATAGGAACTATTGGCAATAACCGTTGGTAGAGTTTTTGTTTCCGGTGTAGATGTTATCAACTCAATAAGGCGAAGAGCAAGGCCAAATCCCTCTCTCATAAAAATTCTCTCTCATCTCCTTCTATTGAAGAAGGGCCTTCACTAAATAGCATTCACAACCTTTTCACGTACTAATAGTTTGGGTTCTCGCACAGTTTATGAATCAATACAAACCTTGGAAATCTTGTATTCTACTACATCTACAGAAGGAAGACAATAAAAGAATCCCGATATTAGGACAAGGATTCAAGTTTAAAGAAAGTCAAATCTCACTTATACGAGTATCAAAGGACCTATTAGAGAGTCTGTCAATAGAGTGAGATAGCTTGTTGAATCATTTTTCACTATAGAACGACTATAGAACGGTATAATATAATAAGAAATTTTATATCTCGAACTCGTATGAGAATATAATAAGCACAAAAAAAGATGCGAGTGATCCATTTCAGTTCATGGCAAAAATCCTCCTTAGTGAGTATGATGATAAAAAAGAATCAAACATGCTTACGCCTATAAGTCATGATGTATCTTCCGGTGCTTATCAAATAATGAGTTACTTTTTGCTTAACTACGAAATGACAAGGTGTACAAATCTCTTATCCAGCAATGATAACAAGATCAAAGATCTATATACCCATCAAGTCCTTTTTAAAGAGTGAAGTCGTAATAAGGTACTGGAAGGTACGGATGGATCACCTTCTTTTCAGGGAGAGCTAATGTTTGTTGGGTACTTTGGTTTGATACTGCTTCGTACCCAAAACAAAAGGCAGGGAGCTATGTGTGAGTAAAACTTGGAGATGGAAGTCTTCTTTCGTTTCTCGACAGTGAAGTAAGACCAAACTCATGAGCTTATTCTCCTAGGTCGAAACAAGTTGATAGGATCCTCTTTGTTACGTCCCCATGTCACCACACGGGGGGCAATGGGGGCGAAAAAAGGAAAAAAAGGGATGGGATTTTTCTCGCTTTTGGAATACCGGGCCCCTAACGGGAGGCTCGCACGATAGGCTATTAGCATAGTGGTAGAGCCAACCACTGATAATTGCGTCGTTGTGCCTGTGGCATGGCTTGTTTGTACATCAAGTAAGAAATTGTATCGCCTTCAGAATGTTGGCGCCAAAGCCTTCAAGGAAGGCCGCCTTCGGTTGGTCGAAAAACCTGACATTTCAAAAACAACATATTTTCCACACGAGTTTTTAATACATGTTTTCATACCTCTAATATCCTAGATCATTCATAACTCTTTCAAGTCCATTTACCTCACCTTTTTTCAATTAGTTATTGAATACATTAATGCACTAATTTTATGGGAACAATTAAGTGATTTGAGATATTGTTGACTCTCAACAAACGGTCTTGTTTCATATATGGGATTTTGTATGAGTTGTCCCCCTTAACCTTCATTACTTAAATCATGCAATTTTTTACAATTAAAAATACTTTGTTTAAATATTGTGGTGTCAATTATTTGAAACTTGCATCGACAACATCAAGTAGTTTATTGATATTCTTGCATGATTTTTCTTTTTGTAAGCTTTGAATCGCTCGAAATCATCCTAAGTTATTAATATTCATGTCAGGAGAATTAGGCAGTTATTGAATAAGAACAATGTAAAAACCATCACTAATAATGGCATGAACAAAATTTGTATCATCCTCTTTTATATATAATTTTGCATTATTTTGATTGATTGACCGGCCACTTTTCCTTTATTGTTGGGACAATCTGCATATAGATAAACACACATTAATTGCATAGTTAATCTTATATACATACATAGAATGAAATGCAACGACAAATTAGAAAAAATAATTTATCTTCTATTTTAATAAGAAAATAAAAGATATTGACACTATATTTTCTTACATTTTATGGTTTCAACTAGGAAAATTGAGCTAACTTGATTAGTTAAACAACTTTTAGTAATATGCTTTGTTATAGATTGAACTAGTTTAGTTTCTAATATACCGGCCACTCAATTTTCGCTTGACCTTCTTGTTGGCATTTCTGTGAATGGAAAACTTTTATTTTTTCATCAAATAATAAATTCTCATCCTCATTTCATATAGGTCTGGATAATGTACACATAAATATAATCTTTGTGATGAACTTTTTTTTTTTTTTTTGTTTTTGCAAGCTCTATATAGATCATTCTCATTAATCAGTTTGTAGCCTTTGTCATATAAAACAATTTCTCATTAATGTTTAGTGTATTATGCACATTTAGAAATGAGATTTTCTCAATATAACTATAAACATCAATAGCTTGTATTAAAAAACATAACCTTGCTAGTTTGTTAGCATCTGTGAGTTCATGTTTTATTGCACTTGTATATGGTCTGATATGCTTCTCCTTAATCATCTGTGTACAGTTGATTTTAAATATTCTACCTGTTACGTACGAAATTTAGAATTAGGTTAAAAGCCCAAGGTAAAAAGAAGAATGGGCCTGACAATAGAGTTGGTTGAACTAGCTGAAGGACGCCGTGTGGAAATCAAGGAAAATACAGGACGGAAGGTTTTCAGGTCGGGAGGTCCTCAAGACGGAAAGTCATCAGGACGGAAGGACCTCAGGTCGGTAGGTCCTCAAGACAGAAAGACCTCAAGTCGGAAGGTTTTCAGGTCGGGAGGTCCTCAAGACGGAAAGTCATCAGGACGGAAGGACCTCAGGTCGGTAGGTCCTCAAGACAGAAAGACCTCAAGTAGGAAGGTTTTCAGGTCGGGAGGTCCTCAAGACGGAAAGTCATCAGGACGGAAGGACCTCAGGTCGGTAGGTCCTCAAGACGGAAAGACCTCAAGTCGGAAGGTTTTCAGGTCGGGAGGTCCTCAAGATGGAAAGTCATCAGGACGGGAAGTCCGCAGGTCGGGAGGCCCTTAGGACGGGAAGTCTGCAGGTCGGGTGGCCTTCAGGACGGGAAGTCCGCAAGTCGGGAGGTCCTCAGGTCGGGAAGTTCTCAGGTCGGAATTCTGCGGCAGAACCAGCAAATCGGGTGGTTTGTTAGTCGGGATGTCTGTAGCTAATCCAAACAAGTCAGATGGTTTGCAAGTCGGGAGGATTGGCAGTCGGACCCATACTATTGTAGATTGGCAGTCGGGCCAAAAGGGCGGAAGGTCTGTGGTCGGTTCAAAGAGTG